ACAGACAGACAGACAGACAGACAGACAGACAGACAAACAGACAGACAGACAGACAGACAGACAGACAGACGGACGGACAGACGGACGGACAGGAAGGCAGGCAGGCAAGCAGGCAGACAGGCTGATAAATAGAAAAACTGAAAAGCAGATACGACAACAGTCTACAATTCAAGAACTGTCGCTTTTTTTATTTATTTGGAAAGTCCTCACCACACTCTCTGAGAACACAATATTATGACAACAACAAGAAGAGCATCACACACATAAAGTAGAAAGAGCAAAATCACGACCAGAGCGAGCACCCACTAACCACCCACTCGCTGCAGGCAGGTTAGGTGAAAGAGGCAGACACCGACGAGACTGAGAGACAATAATATGACGCCCCGCTGCACAACGCCTTCTGTATTATTTATACTGCTTATAGAGAAGACTAGAGGGTGCATTGGGCGGAGTGGTTAGTGCGCTCGTCTCCGAAGCGGAAGGTCCGGGTTCGAGCCTCGGTTCGGGCACGGATTTTTTTCGCCCCCTCCTGCCCACCCAGCAGTAATGGGTACCTGACTTCGGGTTGGGGAAGTAAAGACGGCGTGGAAAGGAACTGGCCACCCTACCACAATATGCCGAAGACCCAGGAAGTTGTCTCACTAACAATGCAATCCCCAATGTCGGGTCCGATGCGGGAACAACTTTTTATGTATGGCTCTTTTCGTCTATGCAGACGGTCAATTTAGCTCAGCTTAAGATGGTCTCAAGGTTTTCTTCATGGCTAATTCTTCCTATGTTTGAAGCGCAGATTCTGTCGCAGTGCTTGCATGTCAGTGTCGTAGATCGAAGTTCTGTATTTCCGCTGTTTTCCTTTCGTCGTTGGCGCTTCTCAGCCTGGTTGTTTCTAAAGCTGCTCTCTAACGAACAACTTTTTAGAGAGGTAAAGCTCCTGCCATGGCCTTCGTTATAACACGTATCACGAAGGCCATGCTCCTGCACCACTGCACGTCGTCCAAAGAAAGGAAGCAAAGCAAGCCCAGAGACAACAACACACCGCCACCAGGTGCCGCTATGACAAAACGGGCTGTATCGATAGACAGGATAAATAATACATCATGACAGACCACCGCACCTCCACAAACGTTCAGAGGCAGCCAGCCACGCATAAAAACCGAGGGAGCCGCTACATTGTACAGCCACTGCTTTTTCTCCAAGAAAGTCGATAGAGCGGCTTCGCTCCAGCGACCCCCGCCAAACCGCTGGCAGATCAGTGATTATTGTCTTTGGGGGGCGGGAGACTTGGCCAGAGCAAAACAAACCAGGGGTTGTTTGACGGTATGATCGCGACTGATTTGGTTGTTTGAACGACCTGGAAGCAGAAGAGGAACTCAGGCCTGAATCTAACAAAAAAATAATAAAAAAATAAAAAATAAAAAATAAACAAACAAAAGCAAAAGCATCCCCCCGTAAAGCAACAACAACAACAACAACACTACAACAACAAAGAAAACACCCAAAAAACCAACCCAACCAATCCGAAACAAATTTTAAAAAACAACAAACAAATACATTACTCATAAAAGAAAAAAGAAATAACTGTCAGGTAGCCACAGCTACAACTTTACAACAACATTATTTTTCTAGTCGAAGAGAAAAGCCGCACATTGATTAAATTACAATCGGATCTTACATTTCCAGGTTGAAAAAACAAACAAAACCGCAGCATAAGGGATTTGGAGCACTCGTCGACACTCGCCGTTAGGGTGAACGTTTCATTACCATCCCACCACAACACATGATGTGGGTCATAATGAGGGGGAGGGG